AGAGTGAGGAAGGGCCCTGTCAGGCATCACCACCCCGACCCCACTCAGCCGCGCTCCTCCACAGGGAAACCTCCTCTTCAGGTCACTTTCCCACATTAAAAAACTCAGGCCTTTCACCCAAGACAGGGAAAGAGGCTAAGTAAGGCTGCAACGGAAAAGAAGTTTACCTTAGAGATCAAGGGAAACTTCCCATACCAAAGAGATGAGGGATGGAAAGGGATGACGAGGTTAGAGGGGAGGACGAAGGGGACGGGATCTTCTCTTTTCCTACAATTTCGGATGGGTAGTCTTTAAGACTTCTCAAAGGAAAGGCTTCCCCTTAGGATCTGGAGGGAGGGTAGTGTTAGAGCTTCTGAGCCATGCCCTCCTTGCCCCACCTCATCATTGTGAAGTTACTTCACAGATCTGGTGCAGACTGGGATGGGTTACGGTCCTCGGTTTCCACGTATTAAAAAGGGGAGCAACCGCGGAGGTGGAAGTGCAGGGTGTTTCCTTTTAATCAAGGTATCAGTTCTCACTACACAGAGACAACCCCTGGCACTATTCTGGGACAACTTTGCCCATAAAATTTTAACAAAGAATACTCTTTGAAATGAGATAGAAAGTTGCAGAATGGGAACTGAAGAAAAGTGCCCCACGGGGAGGAATACTGAGCGAAGCAAGGGCGCTGGCTGGGCCCCTCCCTTCAAGGTGGTCACAGAAGCACTCTCCTTTCTGCCCACCTGCAAGAGTGAGTCTCCTCCCCTCAGCTTACGGAGACCCTGGGGCGAGGGAAACTGGAGAGAACAGCAGTCCCTCTTAATGGTGAAAGGGATTTTGCGCTCTCCGGAGGGAAAGCCCCACCCCTTCCTAGGGACCCTAGACCCCCCAACACAAACAAGCGCTCCAGGAGTCCCCTGCCAGCCCCTTGGCCTCACCCCATTCCCACTCCGGGTCCTGGGGCCCCGCCCAGCCTCCTCAGGCCCCGCCCCTGCTCGCGGTCCCCGCGGACACCCCCAGGTGCGCTCCCCCACCCCTCCGCGCCCGGCCAGGTGCCCAGGCCTGACCTGCTCCGGGCCCTGGAAGCAGATCCGGCACTGGGGGGTTCGGAGTCCACTGTCCAGGCTGCTACTGAGTGACAAGGCGTCCAGCGCGCCCGGGGGCGGCAGCGGCGGCGCGGGCGGCGGCAGGGGTCCAGCCCGCGGCTCCTTGTCGCCGGCCAGGCCCCGGGCCCGCGGCTCCGACCCGTAGTACTCCTCCTCGTCGCCGTCGCCGTCCCGGGTGGAGCAGCTGGCGAAGGGCGCCCAGCCGCAGCCGCCTCCCCCGCCCCCCCGGGGCTGCGGCTCGGCCCGGGGCCGCCCCCCGCCCGTCAGCACCAGCAGCTTCAGCTCGTTCAGGAACATGCGGAGCCGAGACTTGAGCATCGTCCGGGCGCCGGGGGCGGGGGGCGGCGTGCAAGGGGGGCTCGCTGGCGGCGGGGGGAAGGGAGAGGACAAGGCCGGGAAGGGGGCGCGCGCTGGAGAGCCGAGCCGGGCCGGGGTCTTCGGGGCCTGCGACCGCCGTTCACTGCTGCCACCGCCGGGGCTCTGGGGCTTGAGGAGCCGAGTGGGCTGGCGGCCCGGGGGTGGCGGGGTGGGCGGCCATGGCCGGGGCAGGGGGCGGGGAGAGGGACTCAGGGTGCCGCGCCCCGCGGGTCCGGGTCCGGAGCGGGCCGGGCCCCCGGGGTTACACGCCCAGGTCCTCCTGCGGCGGGGCCGCCCCCCATGGCCGTCCTCCCGGTTCCAGTCTCGCTCCGGCTCGGGGATCAGGCTCGGCTCGGCCCGTGCGCTCGGTGGTGGCAAATGGCGGCTCCTTCCGGCGGCGGCGGCGGCGGCGGAGACCCCCCCGGAGCGGCGGGCGGGCGGGGCGGGAGCCGGGGAGCGGGTGAAGGATGGAGGGAGGGGCGGGACGGGGAGGGGGAGAGAAGAAGGGGCCGCGGCTGCGCATCCCCTCCCTGCCCCGCCAGAGCAGGTGTCCCCAGGGGCGGGGGCAAGTGTGCGAGCCCGGGGAGGGTGGAGGAAGGGGAGTGGCCAAGGAAGGGGAGTGTGCACACGAGTAGACTAGGTGTGTGTCTGGGAGTGGGGGATGAGCGGGTGAGCATGGAAGGTGAGTGGTCAAAGGACGCAGGTGTACCAGGGAGGGAGAAGCTTGCGCAAAATGGGAGTGTGCAAAGAAAGAGCTGTGCAAGGGTCGGAGGTATGAGAGAGGTACACACATGGGCAGGGGAGGGACTCAAGCAATATACACTTTACCCAAAGGGCTGAAAAGTGTGCTTGATGGGGACTGGGAAAGAGGTGTGTAAGGAATGGAATCGGATTGCCTGAGAAACAGAAGCCTCTGACTGTAATGTGAGGAGGTGAGTGAGCAGGAGGTAGGCGTGCTACAGGGATGGGCGTGTCTTTCCTGGTACTCTCCTGCAGTGACCTCCACTACATTGAAGTGAACAACACACACACTTAGCCTTTGCTTTTATGGAGCCTTCTCTCTGAGAACAAGTTCTACCCCATCACATTTTTTTCTGCCTCACACTTACATTCTCCCTCTCCTACCCTTTGCAAAGCTGAGGGAAAAGGGATTTCAGGGGAGCCCATTGGGTCAAACACACTGGGAAAAAATTAATTAGTGAAAGAGTAATTAACAGAAGAAGGGAGGAGACAGAGCCTGGGACAGACTGCCAAATTAAGGTTCCTCAAAGAAAGTGATGGAGAGACAGTAATGTTCCCATGAAATATTCAAATGGTTTGGATGGACTAATGAATGAATCAGAAAAAGGGGCTGGGACCCAAGCAGACAGAGAGGATGGCTTCTGTTTTAAAGAGAGTAAGCTGTGAGGCCAGGAACGGTAGCTCACACCTGTAATCCCAGTACTTTGGATGGATCATCTGAGGTCGCAAGTTTGAGAACAGCATGACCAACAGGGAGAAACCCTGTCTCTACTAAAAATACCAAAAAAATTAGCTGGGTGTGGTGGCAGGCACCTGTAATCACAGCTACTTGGGAGGCTGAGGTAGGAGCATCACTTGAACCCAGGAGGTGAAGGTTGCGGTGAGCTGAGATGGTGCCATTGCACTCCAGCCTGGACAACAAGAGTGAAACCCTGTCTCAAAAAAATAAAAGAGAGAGAGAAAGCTGGGATGGGCTTATGCGGAAGGTGAGGCTGAAGTGGGGAATGCTGATGTGGGCAGGGAGTTTGAGAAACTCACAGACACTTATCTTAGCTTTCCAGAAGGCTTACAAAGCACCCACCCCAGCAAGGGAGCCAATAAAACATTCACCTCTTGAGCCCCTTAGTCAGTTCAGTCCTTGAGGTTTTTTTTTTACTAGTGTTCCAGTTGCCCTTACCAGGAGGGACCCAGGGCTACAAGTATCAGGATGGAAAGAGGAGGCATCTGTATTAACATGTATCCTGTTTTGCTCTAAATAATAGTTTATATTCATCTTCTAGTTTGAACTCTTATATTCTCAGCCAGATGGTTCAGGAAAACAGAAGTTAGGGTGGAAGGAGTGGCAAATAAGGTAATAAACCAGCTTTAGATTTTAGACAAATTCAGCTGGGCACAGTGTCTCACGACTGTAATCCCAGCATTTTGGGAGGCTGAGGCAGGCAGATAACTTGAGGTTGGGAGTTTGAGACCAGCCTGACCAACATGGAGAAACCCTGTCTCTACTAAAAATACAAAATTAGCTGGGATCACAGGCGTGGTGGCACATCACACTATTGCACTCCACCCCTGGCAACAAAGCGAAACTCCGTCTCAAAAAATACATATATATTTTGTCTAAAATATACATTTATATATATTTTTAGACAAAAAATATATATTTATATATATTTTAGACAAATTGTCAATTCTCACAAATGAGACACTAACCACTTTCCTCCTTTACTCCCATACCCCTAAAGGGCTGGGAGATAAAGAACCTGGAGCCAATAAAACAAAAAAGGTAGGAGAAATCTACCTCTGTCAACCTAGGTGTCTGTGGGCAGAGGCCATTTGGGAAAAATGGTGCTAAGTGCTGGTTCTGGATGGTGCTAAGTGCTAAGAAAGCTGCACTAGGGAAAAAGGGAAGCACAGTGACTCCAAATGAACAGTCACAAGCTTGCAGAAAAGCACGTCATTCCCATTTACTGTGGTTGTCTGGAGGGTGCAGGGGGTGTGGTGGTAACTTCTTGCACATGCGCCTGTCTACGACATGTAATAAGTAATATAACATACATACATATATATATACCTAGAAGTATATATATACACACATATATCTTAATCTCACATAATCATAGAATCTTCCTACTGAAAAAACAAAAACAAAAAACATAAAGGTCAAGTATTCCTGTCTCCTGCTCATCAATAACTTCTCTGCCAGATGGCCTCAAGTCTTTGCATTAACACTTCCAGGAAGGTTTGGAAGTTGGGAACTAGAGGGCATTACTTTGCCACTGTTCCTGTTGTCTTACTGTATTAATCTGCCTTCTGTCCATCCCCTAATTGAAGTTTTGCCCTCCAGTGGGCATTGTCTACTACCTATTTTATAAGACCCCATTGTTGGCTACATCTTTATAGATAGTCGTACCACTACTTTAAAGAGCCAGTGACAGACACCAAAAACAAAACAAAATAAAAACCCACATACACACTGGCAACAAGCACTCAGTACAATTTTGTAGAATGAATGAGTGAAACAATGGCACAAATGAGAGTATGTTTTCTCACGGTGAAGCAAAAAGGTGATAGTACCACCTCTGGTCCCCCAACTCCCACCCTCTCCCCAATGTAGTCAGGCTGAAAGACCAGTGAAACAATCTTTCAGCCCGGAGTTGGGCTCTGGGTGGCCTGGGTTGCCATGGCACCGCCTTGGGCTCCACCCTCTCTTGCCCCCTACCGCGCCCCCCCACCCGCAGCGGGGTTGTGGCAGCTAGTCACGTGCCCTTCGCGTAACCACACCTCTGCTCCTCCGAGCAATGTCAAGCGGTCACGTGTGATAGCAACAGATCACATGGCTGTATCTCCCCTCCGCCCCTCTTACGCTCTTAGCTCTCCTCCCCGTCAAAGCGGCTCCTGGCCGCCCCCACAGCGCTTGGCTGGCGGTCACGTGCCCAGAACGTCCGGCGTTCGCCCCGCCCTCCCAGTTTCCGCGCGCCTCTTTGGCATCTGGTCACATGGTGAGGGTGGGGGTGAGGGGGCCTCTCTAGCCTGCGGCCTGTGTCTATGGTCGGGCCCTCTGCGTCCAGCTGCCCGGGACAGAGCCCGGGTGTATGGGGCCGCAGGAACCGGCTCCGGGGCCCCGATAACGGGCCGCCCCCGCAGCACCCCGGCCTGGCGTGAGGTAAGTGCAGCCCCATCCCAGCTTTCCACGCGTGCGTTTCGAGAGCTGGTTATGAAAGGGTCGTTCAAGGGCGGGAAATGGGGCCTTTGTGGTCGTGGGAAGGTATAATTTTAGGGACTGAGGTGTAAGATCTTCGATGCAAGGCGTGTGTCATGTGTGATCTTTGTACGGGGCGCGATTGTCCCAAAAGAAAAGGCATTTTTTATTGTAGGGCCTCACGTGGCTGCAGGGGTTGGTATTGAGTCATTGTGTTATCTCCGGGGCCGGCCCAAGGAAGATTGGGAGCGGGGGATGGGATGCTGGTGTTGTTCTTTGTGCTTTTTCTTGGGAGTCCCTTTGTTGCTGCAGGCTCATACCATCCTAACTCTGTAAGGGACTTTTAGTGATAGGAGTCTTTGTGATTGTAGGGTCTCCCTTGATCTGAGAATGGCTACCTCTCGATATGAGCCAGTGGCTGAAATTGGTGTCGGTGCCTATGGGACAGTGTACAAGGCCCGTGATCCCCACAGTGGCCACTTTGTGGCCCTCAAGAGTGTGAGAGTCCCCAATGGAGGAGCTGGAGGAGGCCTTCCCGTCAGCACAGTTCGTGAAGTGGCCTTACTGAGGCGACTGGAGGCTTTTGAGCATCCCAACGTTGTCCGGTGAGAAGGCGGTGGAGGGTTGGGAGTGGGCAGTAAAGGGAAAAGACAGTCTATAGGTGGGGTGTGGTGATCTGGTGAGAAGTGGGGACCCAGAGGAAATAATGAGAGGTCATGTGGGTTAAAGGGGATTGACAAGTGAGCATTTACTCTGGCCAGGCTGATGGATGTCTGTGCCACATCGCGAACTGACCGAGAGATCAAGGTAACCCTGGTGTTTGAGCATGTAGACCAAGATCTAAGGACATATCTGGACAAGGCACCCCCACCAGGCTTGCCTGCAGAGACCATCAAGGTGAGTGGGGTTGGTAGGCATTGAGAGGTGAATTGGGACCTTTGTAGTAGAACCTCCTGGGATTTCAGGGATGGTGCCTAGTTTCCAGTGCATCTGTTCCTCCCCCTTCTGAACTAGGATCTGATGCGCCAGTTTCTAAGAGGCCTAGATTTTCTTCATGCCAATTGCATCGTTCACCGAGATCTGAAGCCAGAGAACATTCTGGTGACAAGTGGTGGAACAGTCAAGCTGGCTGACTTTGGCCTGGCCAGAATCTACAGCTACCAGATGGCACTTACACCTGTGGTCAGTAGAAAGATGGTACCAATATGGGTTCTGGTTGGGAGTAGGAGAGTGGTGGCCCATAACAATTGAGAAGTCATGTGCTTCATGTGTTCAGTTAAGTCAGTTGTATTTCATGGTAACGCATGGGATCCCCATCCATTTTTCCTATCCCCTTTAGGTGGTTACACTCTGGTACCGAGCTCCCGAAGTTCTTCTGCAGTCCACATATGCAACACCTGTGGACATGTGGAGTGTTGGCTGTATCTTTGCTGAGATGTTTCGTCGAAAGTATGGGACCCACATACCCTGGACCACCTTGAATTCCCCAAATCTCTTGTTCATAAACCACATCCAAACCTCCCTTCCATTCTTCTTCTTTTTTTTTTTTTTTTTTTGTTGGAGACAGGGTCTTCTCTGTTGTCCAGGCTAGATTGCAATGACATGATCACAGTTCACTGAAGCTTCAACCTCCTGGGCTCAAGTGATCCTCCCATCTCAGCCTCCCGAGTAGCTCACACTATAGGCGCACACCTCCATGCCTGGCTATTTTTTAATATTTTTGTAGAGATGGGGTCTCAGTATATTGCCCAGGCTGGTCTTGAACTCTTACACTCAAGCAGTCCTCCCAACTCTACCTCTCAAAGTGCTGGAATTACAAGCATGACCTACTGCACCTGGCCCCATTCGTTTACTTGAGTTCTACTGACTACCTTGGCCATAACGGGAAGCACTAAAATGTTCTGGAATTGGGAACTTCATATCCCTTTATTCTCCTTTATTTATTTATTTATTTGAGACAAGGTCTCACTCTATCACCCAGGCTGGAGTGCAGTGGCACAATTACAGCTCACTGTAGCCTCTACCTCTTGGGCTCAAGCAGTCCTCCTGTCTCAGCCTCCTGAGTAGCTGGGACTACTACAGGCGCACGCCACCATGAATGGCTTTTTTTTTTTTTTTTCAAGACAGAGTGTGGCTCTGTTGCTAGGCTGGAGTGCAGTGGTGCGATCTTGGCTCACGGCAACCTCTACCTCCCGGGTTCAAGCAATTCTTCTGCCTCAGCCTCCCGAGGAGCTGGGACTACAGGTGTACACCACCGTGCCAAGCTAATTTTTATATTTTTAGTAGAGACGGGGTTTCACCATGTAGGCCAGGATGGTCTCCATCTCTTGGCCTCATGATCTGCCCACCTCTGCCTCCCAAAGTGCTGGGATTACAGGCGTGAGCCACCGCACCTGACATTTTTTTTTTTTTTTTTTTTTTAAGAGACAAGGTCTTGCTTGTCCAGGCTTATCTAGAACTCCTGGGCTCAAAGAGTTGTCTCACCTTAGCATCCCAAAGTGCTGGAATTACTGGTCTTTATTTGCTATACTTTTTATTTTGGGCTACTAAGTAGTAACAGCCATTCGACTATGATACTTTAAAAATGACAGCTACCTTATGTCTCTTCTTACCTTAGGCCTCTCTTCTGTGGAAACTCTGAAGCTGACCAGTTGGGCAAAATCTTTGAGTAAGTGACCAATATGGGAGAAAAATATTTTACATTCTGAGTCCTCTTTCTGCTGAGCCCAGGATGGCAACTGGCTCTCTCCATGGGGATGGGAACTGGAGGACCCTCCTGACCACAGCTCTCCTGTCCCCCACAGCCTGATTGGGCTGCCTCCAGAGGATGACTGGCCTCGAGATGTATCTCTGCCCCGTGGAGCCTTTCACCCCAGAGGGCCCCGCCCAGTGCAGTCGGTGGTACCTGAGATGGAGGAGTTGGGAGCACATCTGCTGTTGGTATTGGAGATGGCTGTGGGCACAGGGAGGGACTGGGGGAAGAAGCAGAGCAGTACACAGGGCCCTGGCCACTGTGGTTAATGAAACTTGGTTGGTAGATGGGCTGTAGTTTTTATTGCAGCTGCAAATAGCCACCCACAGAGAGGGATCTAAAAGAGAGCCCATCCTGGCCAGGCGTAGTGGCTCACACCTGTAATACCAGCACTTGGGAGGCTAAGGCGGGTGGATCACCTGAGGTCAGGAGTTTGAGACCAGCCTGGCTAAAATGGTGAAACCTCATCTCTACTAAAAATACAAAAAGTAAGGCAGGCATGGTGGCACATGCCTGTCATCCCAGCTACTCGGGAAGCTGAGGCAGGAGAATCGCTTGAACTCAGGAGGCGGAGGTTGTAGTAAGCCGAGATCACACCACTGCACTCTAGCCTGGGCGACAGAGCAAGACCGTCTCAAAAAAAATAAAATAAAAAGAGAGAGCCCATCCCAGGTATTGTCACTGGTGCACAGAAGTCTCTTTCAGTTTTCTTCATGGTTTTCTAACCTTTGCCTCTCCCCTCAGGAAATGCTGACTTTTAACCCACACAAGCGAATCTCTGCCTTTCGAGCTCTGCAGCACTCTTACCTACATAAGGATGAAGGTAATCCGGAGTGAGCAATGGAGTGGCTGCCATGGAAGGAAGAAAAGCTGCCGTTTCCCTTCTGGACACTGAGAGGGCAGTCTCTGCCTTTGTCTCTGAGGCTGTGGAGTCTCCACCTCCATCTTTCTACAGAGATTACTTTGCTGCCTTAATGATATTCCCCTCCTACCTCTCCTTCTGAGGCCTCTCCTTCTGCCCCCCTATTTCCTACACTAAGGGGTATGTTCCCTCGTGTCCCTTTCCCTACCTTTATATTGGGGGTCTTTTTTTATACAGGAAAAACAAAACAAAGAAAAAATGGTCTTTTTTTTTCTTTTTTTTTAATGTTTCTTCCTTTGTTTGGCTTGGCCATTGTTCGATTTGGAAAAACCACTTGGAAGAAGGGACTTTCCTGCAAAACCTTAAAGACTGGTTAAGGTACAGGGCCTAGGCAGTCAGTGGAGCCCCTGGACTGACAAAGCTTAGAAAGAAACTGAAATTCCTTCTCTAAATATGGAATTTAGGCCAGGCGTGATGGCTCACACCTATAATCCCAGCACTTTGGGAGGCCAACATGGGTGGATCACCTGAGGTCAGGAGTTCGAAACCAACCTGACTTAACATGGTGAAACCCAGTCTGTACTAAAAATACAAAATTAGCTGGGTGTGGTGGTGCATGCCTGTAATCCCAGCTGTTTGGGAGGCTGAGGCAGGAGGATTGCTTGAACCCGGGAGGCAGACATTGCAGTGAGCCGAGATCATGCCATTGCACTTCACTCTGGGTGACAGAACAAGACTCCGTATAAAAAAAAAAAAAAAAAAAAGCATTTTTAAATGGCTTTTATATTCATTGAACTTTCTCAAACTGGGTCCTGCTTATTACAGGAAAGAGTTCTTGGTGGTTTTCTCCTTGTCTCTGTCCCTAATTTACCCTTAAAGCCACACCAGGGTATGTTGAGGTGATCTAGTATATGGACAGAGGAGGAGGGGGAACAGTTAAGAATGACCCCAGTCCATTCTATGCACTCCCAGAAGCTTCCCATATCCTCCTGGAGAGAGGGAGAAAGTTTTTCCTTTTATTCCTTATAGTCTGGCTCCCACTAAAATATGTCAAGGTGTAAAGTCTTGCTATTCCATCAATTGTAGGGGATATGACAAGGGGCCTTTCCTTTTTCTCAAACCAAAAGGGTTACAAACCCTAGATTTTCTCTAAGGGAGGAAGAGAAAGAGCAGAAGAGAAGTCAGAAGGATCCAAAGTCTCATAGAAAGGCACTGGGGTTGGCTCTAGGATCCTTCTGATTCCGAAATCTCATTGCTAGCCAAACACCAAGGATCTGTAGGAACAAAGAGAGAAATAAGCACCAATTCTCAGTCTCAAGTTTAAAAGGGTGTACATGAGGGAACTGGAGAATGTTACCTCTGTAAAGCTAAAGAAGAGTCCAACACCCCCTAGGATTTTCAGGGCTTCATCTGAATGCTTAAGAAACTTTTCTCCACACATTTGGCATGTGGGGCTCTGGCTCTTGCAGATCTGAGGATATAAAATGTGTGTGAAGAATGCAAAGTTGCTAGTCACCAATACCTATGCTGAATGTCCCCAGAAACTTTACTGTTATCTGACTAGTGTCCTACAAACTAAAATCTCACTTAGCTAATTCCCCAGCCTCTGTATCCACCCCTATCCCCTACCAACACACAGCCCCAATACAAGATGGCTTCTAGAAAGAGAAATAATGACATTCAAACTAAATTTGCCAACTTGGGCATTGTCCTTACCCAGTTTCCTACCTCCCCGGCTGCTGTACCACCCCCAACACACTCACTGCAGTGCAGAAATCATAATCTTGTTGATACAGGGTTGTAAGGTTGAATAAGCCACAACAATCAAAACTTCTTTCCAGTTCATCCCGAGTCTTGTTGCTCATGACCCACCAAGAAGCATTGATGACATCTGTCTGGAGGATATGGGCAGAGGGAAATTAAATCTTCCTACATCCTGATATAAGTTGAAGTCCAATTTCACTAGTCCAGCAAAGGAAGTCAACCAGAAGCATAACAGTGTGCCACAATTATAGACAGGATAAATATCTACCTTTCGGGTTCTCTAGATCATCATGGAAAATTAGCCAGACATCCAAGAGGAAGCAAATAGCCCAGGAGGCTAGAGGCAGTGGACCTAAGGATGATCTTTGGGTAGTTGGGGCCAGACTAAGGAAGGAGTTAGAGGGTAAGAGGAAAATTTTAAAAAGCAAATAAGTACTTGAAAGAGCATTGTCTTACCTGTTTGCTTCGGTTAATAGCCAGACATGAGCAAGAGATAACAAATTGGAAGATGAAGACCAAACCGAGAATGATCATGTACTGAGAGGAAAGGTTAATGGAAAAAAGTCCTAGATTCCTTTTATGTTCTATCTATAACTGCCTGGTCTCATCTAGTCATAGAACTTACACCACCAGGTCAAACTGAAAGCAATAAAGTCAGCTCTTGTTTTGTAGATTATGGGGCGGCAAGGCAAGCAGATGTGTCCAAGATCCCTGAGGTCCCCTACCCTTCCAACATCTTAGATATCTGACAGCCCTTCCAAAAGCCCAGTTGCCCCCATCACTCAGGTCAGGATACAAAGAACAGCAGGACTTGGTGATGGTTGACAGCACCCACCAATCCAGCCACTGCAATAAGGAGAAGGAAGACTCCCACAGCCATGACTCCACCGATGATGTGGATGCTGGACACCAGACCCAGGCCCTTGCCCCAAGCAGCCACTCCAATGAGCAACAAGCCCACCAGCTACAAAGAAAGAGCAGGACACGTCTCAAGAATTCTAGCATGCAGCACAGCCCAAGGCCATTACCAGAAGACTTGGGGGAGAAAAAAGTAGTGATGGAATGGTCTGTGAATGGGAGATGGGAGTGGTGCTACCCACACCAGGGGCATCCCTGGGCACTCCCAAAGGTTAGAATGGCTGGGATGGGGGCGGTAGAAGGTGGCAGGGATGGTAGTATGAATATAAAAACTGAACCCTTAGGATCATCCCATCACTTCTACTTTGGGAGAAACTGAGGTTGACAGGAGGGAGGAATGGAACATACACCCACAGCTTTCAGTTCATTCTGTCACCCCCAGACCAACCCCCTCATCAACCGGAAGTTCCCCTCTCCCACGGAAGTCCCCAGGAATTCCCTCTTCGCCGGAAGTTCCTGGGAATCTTCCTGGAACCCCCAATACACCCCTCTCCCCACCGGAAGTACCCTAGAGATTCTCCCTACTGGGCCTTTCCGCCCTGAAGCTTCTCCCACCTCCAAAACCTCACCATGTAGACCACGTTGAGAGCGCAAAGCGCATTCTTGGAGCAGGCAAAGCCGCCGCAAACCATCTCCCCAGCTCTGGGGACCCAAGTGGTCCCAAGGACTTGAGGGGAGGGTATTGGGGACCGTCTTCCAGGACCCCGACAGTTTCTGTCTCTTTAAATCGAGGCCAGCCAAACCCAATTCTCTGCGCCTGCACCGTCCCACCCCTGCCTCTGGATTGGCGAAATGCGTGGCTAATCCTGGACGTCCAAGGCCTGCATTGCCAATCAATACACATTACGTCACCGACCCGCCTCCTGTCCCCTCCTTTAGGTTTTTCATTAGGCGAAACTTAAAACTAGGGGCAGGGTTTCTAGAGATTCTCATAAGGACGACAGCCTCAACTCCAAAAGCTTGGGTTGAAAGCTGAGCTTTCTGTGCTCCGAGTTGGAGAAGGCTAATTCGAAGGAGGCGGCTCCGGAGGAACTTCGGTGAAGGGGAGGCAGCGGGAGGGGCAAGTAGGGGGCCGCTCCGAGAGCTGGGTAAGAAGGTCTCCGTCAGTGGAAGGAGGGCCCTTCCCCGCTGCTTTCCCCTTGTCCTGCAGTGACCTCATGATGACGCCATTGTTGTGTTACTGCGTCACACTCGGGAACACCCAAAGGAGCCACATATTGAGCTTATTTAGCCCGGCCACAGAGGCCGCAGGTTGGACACAGCAACACCCAGCAAATCCTCACACGTCTGTGTTTGCTAGTACCCATGTCCTGTTCCATATACCCTCCTAACGGGGTGTGAATATGCCAGAAATTCAGTGTGGAAATCGCTGCCTCAGGCCAGCGCATTACTGTATATGGCATTGCCACAGGTGCACGCACGGATGTGCTCAGCAGTTTCAGGGTACACGCCTGATCTATAGGGTTTGCAAAAAATGACAGGCAAGAGATCCTCTGGGATATAAATAAATATGAGGTAAAAGAGCTCCACCTTTTCACTTGGGGGTGAGTTAATCAATAACTATTATTAAGTGCTTTGACACACCCCTTTTCACACGGGTGGGAAAAGGCATAATCCTTCTCTCCCCAGGACAAAGAAACAGTAGGAACAACAACAAAAAAAAAACCTCCAATCAACTCAACAGAATGATTTTTGTGTGTACTTAGAGTCTATGGTCTTATTGCCACAGTCAGATTGCCACTTCCTAGCTGTGTAACCTTTGGCTAGGCACTTGAACTGTCTGTGTCTGTTTCCTCATCTGTAAAATGGGGATAAATAACACACCTACCTCTGGGTTGTGAGAATTAAATGAGTTAATATATGTAGAGTACTTAGAACACTACCCGGCACATAGTAAACACTCACTGTTAATTATTACTTTTCAGGTCATTTTACAGTTTCCTGTGCGCAATTCCAACCTCAATTCCCTTATCACCAACTACACAATATTTATGTAGTTATAGATACTTATCTTTCAGAAATTAATATCAAAAAGGTATGCAGGAAAAGAGATATTTGACAGGGCCAGAGAGATGTTTGGGTCTTGAAACGAAGTAATTAATTATTGTTATTGTTATTATTATTTTGAGACAGAGTCTCGCTCTGTCACCCAGGCTGGAGTGCAGTGGCAGGATCTTGGCTCACCGAAGCATCCACCTCCGGGGTTCAAGCAATTCTCCTGTCTGCCTCAGCCTCCCAAGTAGCTGGGATTACAGGCATCCCCCACCAAGCCCAGCTAATTTTTTTTGTATTTTCAGTAGAAACAGGGACTTGCCATGTTGGCCAGGCTGGTCACAAACTCCTCACCTCAGGTGATTTGTCCACCTAGGGCTCCCAAAGTGCTAGGATTACAGGGGCCCGGTGCAAACAAAGTAATTTGGTCGGACTACCAACTATCTCCCACCTCCCATTCCCTCACTCCTCACCCCTATCCCCTTTCTGCCCCAACTCCCATCTTCATTGTCTCCTTCAATTCCTCATATACCTTGTTCTCTTTCAGGTCCTTAATCAAGGGCAGGACAGTGGTATTAGAAGGGGAACTGGCTGACAATTTTGGTTGTGTGGTATAGTGAAGGGGGTATCAAAATTATAATCAATCTGGGCTTTATGTACTTGGTAAAAAATAAAAATAAATAAAGTTTTAAAAATATCAGAAGACCTAAATCCATGTCTTTGTTTTACCTCTTAATGGTTTCTCTGAGCTAGTTTCCTTTTACGCAGAATAGGGATAAATAATCCTACCCCTCAAGGCTGTCATGAGGATAATGTAGTTGTAAACTATTAAGTGTCACAGACGTCAATTAGACATGTTAATTATTGTGAAAGCAATTGAACATGGAGCATGATAGTTTTTGCCTGGTTATAGGTTACTTTCCTCCTTCATAACTCATTTTCCCCATACTCACTTGGCCTATTTATTTATTTTTAAAATGGAGTCTTGCTTGCCCTGTCCCCCAGGCTGGAGTGTAGTGGCCTGATCCTGGCTCACTGCCACCTCCACTTCCTGGGTTCAAGTGATTCTCCTGCCTCAGCCTCCTGAGTAGCAGAGACTACAGGTGCCTGCCACCATGCCTGGCTAATTTTTGTAGTTCTTCTTTCTTTCTTTTTTCTTTTCTTTTTTTTTTTTTTAAGTAGAGACAGAGTTTTGCCATGTTGCCCAGGCCAGTCTCAATCTCCTGACCTCAAGTGATCTGCCTGCCTCGGCCTCCCAAGGTGTTGGGAGGTGACCTGGCCTCGCTTGGCCCTTTTAAACGGGAGGTGACCTCAGTGGGTAGCTGACTGGGGAAGAAGGGTTACATTGCAAGACATAAGGAATCGAGGCGCACTGGGCTGTGTACAGGGTGATGGGTACAAGTGTATACTGGAATTCAGGGCTGTGAGGGTAACAGACCAAGTGTGCGTGAATTCCTGTGAGAGTCTGAAATCTGCAGGTCACCAAGAGTTTAGGATTGTACCTGGGACCTAGCTTGCCATATTTTCCCAGGATGAAGCATCCATCTTAATTAGCCACCTCCCACAAGAGGCCCTTGGATGATGTTAAGATCTCTCCATCTACCTGGCTGCAAAATCATGGCAGGGGCTGGCTGGCAGGGCTGATGGGCCAACACTAGAGGGGGTGGGAGGTGCAGGAGGTAGTGCTGTCCCAGGCTGTGGGTTTGAAACTCACCAGTCAGGAAGTGAGGTCGACAGACGGAAGGGCGGGCAGGGGCGGGGAGTTCTGGGCACAGCAGAAGGGGCCTCCCGAGGTTTGGGGGCTGCAGGGCCATGGGCCTCAGCGCTAGAGGTGGTTGTTAGCCTGGCAAGACCGGTCTGGGCAACATGCATGCCCAGAGGCAGTTGGTTGTAGCCGCAGTGAGAGCAGAAGTCAGACGACATGAGGTGGCCAAGCAGGCTCTAAACCGCCTCAGGAAGCTGGCAGAGAGGGTGGACAACCCTGAACTTCAGGACAGCATCCAGGCCTCATTGGACAGTGTTCGAGGTAAGAGAAGGGTCAGCCTCCAGCTTGGGTGTATCGGGGACTAGCAGGGGGATAGAAGGGTTAGCTGTATCATATATCACTTCCCAGTCAGCTACTTCCTAGTCCCTAAGATGGAGCTGGACTCTGGGGAAGAATACATTTAGGGAGGATGGAAAAAGACATGGGTGGTTATCATTCCTTCTCTTTCCCTGCTCTGATCCTTCTCCCAGGAGATCAAAAACGCAGGTCCCTGTTGAGCTGACCTTCTTGGCAATGAAGAAGTGTGTGAGCATGGGGAAGACAGGCTGTGACAGACTCATGGTAGACTTGGTCCCTGCCTGGGGAGTCCAGAGCAGGAAGCAGTCTGGGGCAGCAGGTTCTGGGACTGAATAATGAGTTCATTCCCAGGACCCACTAAGGATCAGTGACCTCTTGTTCTCCAGCTGTAGCGAGAAACACATGCACACACGCACACACACACACACGCGCGCACGCATTGAAGTACACCATGCAGAGAATCTTAGGCTCCCAAGCGAATATTAACTCTCGCACACCATGCTCTGCAGAGCCAAAGTGCAGAGACATCTCCAGAACTCTTCTTGGTCCCCTTTCCTCCCTTTGCTCTTGTTCCTGTCTTCCCCCCACACACCTTCCGCTCTACCTCCTTAGTGCCATTAGAGCAAGTGATGACAACACAGGGAGGAAGTGCTGCCATGGCAACACCATCCGCCACATCCTCCTGCCCACCCCAGCCTTCAATCCTGTGGTGGAGGCCTGGCAGGAACAGCTTCTCTCCATCCACAAGGCCCTGCCACTGAGGAACTGGTGGAATTGGAGGTTGTTTTCAGCTTGCTCTCATTTCATTCACCACTGATGCAGCAAAGAGCTAACAAAAGCAGCCTTCCTTGCTCATGAAAGGTATCTGGTGGAAGCGCTTGCTCCATCATATCATGATCTCTTCCAGCCACTTCAGTCCTCTCCATTGTTAGTTGCCTTCCTGGGGTGAGGGTGGGGGTCAAGAGATCATTCTTTCCCTCAAGGACACCTCCTGCCAGACCTCTCTGTTGGTACACCAGAGCATAACTGGGGGAAGGAATGGTTTGCTTTGGATGCCTAGTGGGACCGGCTGATGATCCCCTTCCCATTGTTCTTCGGAGGCTAGTGCCCTCTCACCTCCTGTCCCACACTCTGCCCGGGAACTATACCTGAAGCCTTCCCTGACAGCCTTAGTGTTTGGAAAGGCAGACCAAGTGGGAGCGGCCCATGGGGCCTCCTAGGGAAGAACTCTAAGCCCCATCCCTGCCAAAAATAATAATGATAATAATGATAAAGGAGAAAAGCAGTTTAGGTCAGGCAGAAAAGCTCTGCTTAGCTTTGGAGAAGGAGGGGGCGAGGAGGGGTGGAGGCTGAAATCCCTGAGAAGGCTCCACTCCTCCTGAGAGATTTGTTTTACTCCTTCTCTAAGAGTGAGTATTCTGTTCCCATTGAACATAGAGGAAAACTGAGGCCATCAAAGCAGGGAAGTTTAAGCCAAAGCCAACAATTCTTCACCCTCTCCATCAAAAAACACTACCTTTTTTTTTATGGAGAGGTCTCCTGTCCTGGGGATGGTGTCATCCTGGTTCTGTAGGGAGTGAGAGAGAAGCTGCTGAACCCCAGGACAAAGTATTGGAGGGACTGGGTACAGGCATCTGGGAGAACAAAGGGCTTCTGGCATCCTGCCTCAGCCCCCCACCCTCAGCCCCCCACCAGGCCGAGCACGCAGCGGGCTCCTGCCTCCAAGAGCCGCCCACGGCAGCACTTATTATAGTCTCGGCTGCGTCAGGAGGGTGGGATGCCAAATCGGGGGACCGCTGTGACTCCCCAAGTCCCAGGAAGGGGTCTCTAAGGCTGCAGGGAGACTTTCCTTCTCCCATCTTACCCCATCCCCAAGGGGTCTCAGCCTCTTTTCCACTTTGGCCTAACCACTTCAGGATTCTCATGTGGCTGGAGGATAGAAAACCTTGAACTCCAAGACCGCTAGAGAAGTGGGGGGCACTGAGCAGATGGTTTCCATTCACTCTGCTTGCCTCCTCTTTAACCTCCGAAAGAATCCCACTCAGCAAACCTCAGGAGACTGAAACTGAGCCCTGAAGAGGCCGGCTCCCACTGCCTCAACTGAAGGGTCCTTGTATTTGGGGAGTGAAATCCCCCACCCGTGGGTAACCAGGTGTGAGGGCAATGCATCCACTAACTCGGCATCCCCCATTGGTCCCCCACTCGCCATACACCCGGATCTCTCTCTGCTTCTCTGCACGCTGTTTCTGAGGGACTCTTGGAGCTATGGTTGCTATGGAGACTGGATGCATTTTGGCATGGGGGGTTATCAGTCCAAGACACATTCCTTCTCCTTCCTCCTAGAGCTAGAGCCTTTGACTTACCCTGTGGCCTGGACTCCTCGAGCACTCAGATCTCTCCCCTCTCTCCTACCCTGCTAAGTTCCATGTTTGTCCCCATCCCTGGGGAACATTTTCCAAGTTCACTTTGGGACAGTCTAGCTCAAGTCTTGGCCCCGTCAAAGTATTAAGTGTGGGAGTGTGAGTGGGAAAGGGAGCTGGGTCAGGAGAAAGGGAAGGCATTCAGGTACCTGGGAGAGACGAGATCCTGGGGGAAGGGATTTCAGGGGCCCCCTGCTTTCCCACTTCAGCTTCCCCAGAATTGGCAGTGACCCTGGGTTTGCTCTGTTCACCGCGGCCTGTCCACTCAATAGATCGATTGTCACCTTATCCCTAAATGCCACACCTCACAGTCGCGCTTCCTAACCTTGGTGTGCTAGAGGAGGGGGCGAGGTTGTTGGAGGAGGTGAGTCCAAGTCCCAGGAAATCCAGCCCAGGATTTGGGAGAGAAATCCAGTCCTGGATTTTGCACCGCCCTCGCAGACCTCAGTGCTGGTGGAGAGAAGGTGGGGGGGAGATAGGGTGGGGGGGCCTGAGGGCCGCCTCCTCCTCAATGTGAGGGGAGCGCCCGGACACAGCGCGCATCCGGACCGAGCCGAGACCGGGCGAGGCCCCCGGACTCTTCGCCCGGATCTCACGCCCCTCCCCTCCCAGACCCCAGACCCTTGGGTTGCCATCCACCTCCTGTTCCCTCTTTCCTCCCCCGCCACCTCCTGTATCTTCATCCCCAGCATCCTCCCCGCGCCCCTGCGAATCCCTGGCACGGCCAGCCCCACTAGCTTCCCACCCTCCTCAAGACCCTCACTCTGACCGCATCCGCGGCCCCTGTCCCTTGAGTCCCAGTTCCCCGCCCCTGCCTCCCCCGCACTGGTTCTTCTTTTCCCCTAGCCTCTGATTCCCTTTTCTGCCCCCTTTTCCTCTCTCTCTCCCCCATTTGCCCCCACTACTGTCCTCCCCGCCCTCCCCCACCCACCTCAGCGCCCCCAGCCAGGCCGGGGTGGACGGTCCGGCGCGCCTCCCTGGAGCAGCACCAAGGTCCCGGGGCTCCAAGAGGGTGGGGGCGCAGGGCGGGGAGAATGGGGAGGGGGCGCCCCATGTGATGGGAGGGGGGCGCAAGCGGAGGCGGCGGAGGCGGCGGCGACAGCGGAACCGGGCCGGGGGCTCAGCGGGGTCCGGGGGCTGGGGGCAGCGAGCAGGGCGGCCCCATGGCCGGGCCCCCCTGAGGCAGTCCGGGGGAGTCCCCTCCCCTCCCCAGCTCGGGGGTCTCCGGGCCCCATGAGCCGGGGCGCGGGCGCGCTTCAGCGCCGGACAACGACCTACCTCATCTCGCTGACCCTGGTCAAGCTCGAGTCGGTGCCTCCGCCGCCGCCTTCTCCGTCTGCGGCCGCAATCGGCGCTGCCGGTGCCAGAGGCTCCGAGACTGGGGATCCTGGTAGCCCCAGAGGCGCTGACGAGCCGGGCAAGAAGCGGCACGAACGTCTCTTCCACCGGCAGGATGCGCTGTGGATCAGCACGAGCAGCGCGGGCACCGGGGGCGCGGAGCCCCCAACCCTGTCCCCGGCTCCGGCCAGTCCGGCCCGCCCAGTCTCTCCCGCTCCAGGCCGCCGCCTCTCCCTCTGGGCCGCCCCTCCCGGACCCCCGCTCTCTGGGGGGCTGAGCCCCGACCCCAAGCCTGGGGGCGCCCCCACCTCCTCCCGGCGCCCCCTACTCAGCAGCCCGAGCTGGGGCGGCCCGGAGCCCGAAGGCCGGGCGGGCGGCGGCGTCCCTGGCTCATCCTCTCCGCACCCTGGCACCGGCAGCCGGAGGCTCAAGGTGGCGCCTCCTCCGCCGGCTCCCAAGCCTTGCAAGACCGTGACCACGAGTGGAGCCAAAGCCGGCGGGGGCAAGGGCGCGGGTAGCCGCCTGTCATGGCCCGAAAGCGAGGGCAAGCCCAGGGTCAAGGGGTCAAAGAGCAGCGCCGGGACTGGAGCTTCTGTCTCAGCCGCCGCCACCGCCATCGCCGCCGGGGGAGGGGACGCTACAGCTGCGACCTCTGGTGGGGTCGGGGCTGGGGCCGGAGCCCGAGGGAAGCTGTCCCCTCGGAAAGGCAAGAGTAAGACCTTGGACAACAGTGACTTGCATCCGGGACCGCCTGCCTGCTCTCCTCCGCTAGCCCTCCCACCAACTCCGACAACAGCCGCTGCTGTCACTGCCGCTTCCGCGCAGCCCTCCGGGCCTGCACCGCCAATCACTCTGGAGCCTCCAGCTCCCGGGCTGAAACGGGGCCGGGAGGGGGGCCGAGCATCCACTCGGGACCGCAAGATGCTCAAGTTTATCAGCGGCATCTTCACCAAGAGCACAGGAGGGCCTCCTGGCTCCGGGCCCCTTCCGGGACCCCCCAGCCTGTCTTCTGGCAGCGGGTCCAGGGAGCTGCTGGGAGCCGAGCTCCGCGCCTCCCCTAGTGAGTTGAGTCAGGGCTTGAGAACAGGGAGGGAAGGGTACCTGGAATGCTCAGCTTGGGGTGGAGGAGCCAGGTATAGGAAACTAGGGAAGCTTTTCTCTGGGGTGGGCGGATGAACCAAGCTCACTCCTCTGCCAAGGACTGGGGCAAAGAATAGGAGTCCTGAAGCGGGGTGAGTAGCTACATTGTGCGACATGAGAAATGACTTGATTTCAGAGGCACTCAGAGAACCTCAGAGCGTTCTGAGAAAATAATGCCCTTGGTCAGAGTGACGAGAAAATTGCTCCCAGAGAAGCCCCAGTCCAGCTTCAGCTGGACTCTGGGAGCATGAAAACGGGTCTTTGCCGCGTTCAGAGGGACGTTGAAGGTGAAGAGGATGAGGAAGCCTCAGTTTCCCCCGAGCACTTGGGGCAGGTGGCGTGACAGTGACCTTGCAGGCAGTTTCTCGCCAGGGACCAGTGGTCCCCTGGGCTGAGAGCAGGTTAGTGATGTTTTCCGTGCAGTGAAGGCGGATTGGGCCGTACGCGAGTGCGCGGGGGCTGGAACGTGCAGAATATTTAAATGTGAAGTGAGAGGGGGCGGATAGGAAGCTTCACTTCCCCCACTGCGCACCCCCGCCCCAGAGCCGCGTTGAAACCCACCTGGGGCTGACCCTGGAGTGAGTCAGGGGGGCGGAACTGCTGCAAAGGCAATCCGTACCCCGGGAGACTTGGGCGGCGGTACGGGGAAGGTAGTCTTTTTTTCCGTGGGCAGGGTGTCTATTATTTTTTTTTCCTACTGGAGGAGATAGGCAGGAGACTCTTGGTTCGGCTCACACTCCCGGGAGAGGAGGCGGGTCCAGGAGCGGAGGCGGTCCCCGGGGTTTGGCTCTGGAGCGGGTGGGAGCAGATGGCTCCGGATCCCAGAGTTCCCGCCGCAGCTGCGGCTCCCCGGGAACGTCCGGCCGATGTCAGGCACCGGGGCTGGACCGGGCGGGTGGAAGGAGCATCCTTTCCCCCAGGCTTGCGGCTTCTCTCGGCCAGGCAACGGAGCTCTTCCCCACAGTTGTTTTGGAGGGCGCTTGTGGGGAGGGTTCGGGAGATGTAGGCATAGGAAAATCCTAGCTCTTTCCCTTGGGCTGTGGGGAGGAGTCCAGGGGCCACGGTGCCTTTGACCTTGAAGAAGGGGAGGGAAAGCCCTCACCTCAGTTTCTCTCCCGTGGAATGGAGGCTGGGGAAGACACGCTCTCTTCTGTGTTTCAGCACCTCCTCCCAGGGGCTGCCCTGGGAATCAGTAGGTCAGGGAGGAGTTCCTCGTCTATTCTTTTTCCAGAGGGAAGAACCTGTCACTGTCAGAGCCCTGGTCTCTCTGTCTGGGGCCAGGACCCGCGTTTGGGGATGTGCTTTAAGGGAGATGCCAACTGAAGTATTTTTGTCTTGCTAGCTACGTTGCTAAGCAACCACTGAGCGGCAGCAACAGCTGGGGGAGAGCCGCTGGGATGGGAGGCCTGGGGACCACTCTCAGACCTGTCTGTTCCACACACCTCTCCAGCGCAGGCAGGGTTCGGGGGGTTGGAAAGCTGCAGAGGGAGGAGGGGTAGCTCAGTGTTGAAGGTCCTCCTGAGCCAGGAGCTTCCCTCTTACTGCCCTTCTCCCATTACAGAGGCCGTGGTCAATAGCCAGGAATGGACTTTGAGCCGCTCCATTCCTGAACTGCGTCTGGTAGGTAACCCAGTGCCCTTGCCTGTAGGGAAGGCTGACCTCCCACCCACTGCACACTCGGCTCTCTCCCTGCATCTCTCCTTTTCTCTCTCTCTCTTTGAGAGTAGGGAATCGTTTTCCAGTTCTCCTGAGAGTCTACCTCACAGCACCAACCTGGGGCTTGCTACTTCTCACAAGTCTTTCCTCTCTAGTCTTTACACGGCCATCCCCTTTCCCTGTTTGTTCATGATCCTCCTCCAGCCTTCTCACTTCTGGCATCTGCCCTTTGGCCTTCGTGTTCTATTGCCTAAAATTGGGTAAAGTTTTCCAACTAGAGCTAGGACATGCTACACACACACCCCCCCCCCCCATGTCTAGTATGTTTTCTAAATAACCCAACACACAAAAAAGCTGGTACTGAATTGCTGACATTCTTCAGCTTGAGCTCCACTTTGAGCTTGGGATCATTTCTGACCACACTCATGCCCTGATCTGAGCAGCCAACTGCTCTGATCCCCCAGCTGCTCCGATCCTCCCAGCTGCACTCTCTGGAATGACTGTCATCCAGGCCCTGTAGGGTCCTGCTTGGATAATTTATCTCTCTGGGTTTTCTGGAGTGTCCAGACCCAAGCATCCTGCCTTCTCTTATATCCCACAATTTCTGCTCCACAACCTTGCTCTCAGGGTGTGCTGGGCGACGCCAGGAGTGGGAAGTCATCGCTCATCCACCGATTCCTGACCGGTTCATACCAGGTGCTGGAGAAGACAGAGAGTGAGTTATCAAGAGCCATAGTAAGCTAACGATTGGGGTCAGGGATCCAGGAGTGAAATCAATGATTAGGCAGGTATGGAGACCAGGGGGGAAGGATGAGGCCATAACAACAAAAGCACTAGGAGCATGAAGAGGTTTGTTGACCTGTCACCTGTGACCTATGACCCCTTTCACCTCTGATCTATGACCCCTTCTGGACAGGTGAGCAGTACAAGAAAGAGATGTTGGTGGATGGGCAGACACATCTGGTGCTAATCCGAGAGGAAGCTGGGGCACCTGATGCCAAGGTGAGGGTGGAGGTGGTGGGGGACAGGCTGGCTGGGGTCAGCAATGACCAAGGCAGAGGGCTCTGGTTTCCCAGGTCTCCATCAGGATTGGGTCCAGAGAAGTAGACCTGTCTGACTTTTCATTTGCTCCCTCACTCCCCGCAAGTTCTCAGGCTGGGCAGATGCTGTGATCTTCGTCTTCAGCCTGGAGGATGAGAACAGTTTCCAGGCTGTGAGCCGTCTCCATGGGCAGCTGAGTTCCCTTCGCGGGGAGGGACGAGGAGGCCTGGCCTTGGCACTGGTGGGGACACAAGGTAAGGAGGGGTCAGGAAAGCAGTGCTTTCAAGGGAGGCCCTGAGGAGGCTACTGGGATATTGCCCAATGTGGTTGAGAACTTAGGTGTGGATGTGGCCACCTGGATTACAGAACCCTCTGGAGGGAGCCTGGTCTCCCAAATAAGGGAGCCATGAAACCAAACAATAACTTCCCATGGTCTGAGCAGAGAAAAGGGGACCTCCGGAGAGGAAAGGACAGCTATAGTGGCCATCTCCTTGCTTCTCCTGAAATGTCACCTACCTTATGTTCTCACACTGCCATTTCCCGGTGCCACCACCATAGGACACAGAAAATCTCAAATCCTAGTGTAAATAGGAAAACTTTTTCGTCTTCCCTTTGCTAGAGCTGGGTCAGGATGACACCTTTTAAAGAACTTACCAGAAAACACAAAGGAAATGATGATGAAACAAGAATGCATCTCAGAGAAGTGACTCAGAGACTCCCAGACTACCAGGGTCAGGAAATGCTTTTCCAGCACTCCCCTGTGTCGAGCTGGTGGGATTTGCTCTGGATGCTGGTTCTGCTGGTGCCTGCCTCCACCTGTTGCTTGCCTCCTGGTTTCTTACTGCAGAGTGGGCAGTCCAGTCATGACCCATGGACACCCAACCTTTTCCTAGTTCACAAGCCAGTGTCCTCCCACTAGTTCAGGGTTTGATGGATTTGCAGGACAGGGTGATTATCACTTGCACCTGGGTCGGAAGCACCACTCAGCAGCTCTGGAGTATTCTTTGAGGATACACACACACAGATCACCCAGCCTATTCATGCACAGCTAGGTGTGTAAACTGGGCCCAGTACTCAGAAAGGGCTTATATACTCAAAAGAGATGGTCTCTCACACCCCTTCCCCAGTGTGCCTAGCCTGAGGGCCCAGCACAAGGATAAGGGAACCGTGAAAAGTGGGGGAGGGGTTCCTTGTTCAATTCTGCCCCTTTCCTTTCCACTCAGACAGGATCAGTGCCTCCTCCCCTCGGGTGGTGGGAGATGCTCGTGCCAGAGCTCTGTGTGCGGACATGAAACGCTGCAGCTACTATGAGACTTGTGCCACCTATGGGCTCAATGTGGATCGGGTCTTCCAGGAGGGTGAGTGTGGTGATCTCCAGCATATGTGGGAAGCCAGGAGCAAGGGGCCTGGGATATTCTCGGAGGTCAGGCATCCAGGCCTCTCTCTGTGATTGATAGGAAATTAGCCTCTGTGGGAGGGAGGAGAGATCAGGGAGACCAGAAGTTTGCTTAATAGTCGTAAGGTCTTTCTGGGCTGGAGGAGCTGACAAGGCCACAGGTGGCATGGAGGCCACAGTGACAAGGAAGTTGGGGCCTGTGTTGCCTCCTGGGGATTTCTCAAAGCTGGGCATGGAAGGGTGCTCTTGGGTATCTGGCCTGTTCACATCTCATTCCCCCAACTCTCCTCAGTGGCCCAGAAGGTGGTGACCTTGCGCAAACAGCAACAGCTTCTGGCTGCCTGCAAGTCCCTGCCCAGCTCCCCGAGCCACTCAGCTGCATCCACTCCAGTAGCTGGCCAGGTGAGTTGGGGTTTCAGAGTCTGCAGAGGGACTGGTAAGTTGCAGAGGGGCTGGGGATCCTAGGACAGGTACAGAGTACCCAAGGAGGTTCGGGGAGTGGGGAAACAGATGGAAATGGCAGTGAAGCTACTGGCAGAAAGTGCATTGGCCTGGAAATCAACCCAATTTGAGATGCCGTTTGCAGTGTCCTTAAGCAATTCACCTAACCTCCCAAGGTTATCAGGAAGATTGGATGACATAATACTCGCAGATAAACCTTCACAAAACTTAAAGCACTGTCACAGTGTTAGTGAGGATTTTAAAAATTATTAATGACAATATAAATAAATGGTGAGGCAATCAAGGAACATCTCAATTACCCCATAACTAGACATGAGCGTAGCTTGGTGGGGTAGGGCATCTCAGCTCTGCTGACTTTTCCATATGCGCCCAGGCTAGTAATGGGGGCCACACGAGCGACTACTCTTCTTCCCTCCCGTCCTCACCAAATGTTGGTCACCGGGAGCTCCGAGCCGAGGCAGCTGCAGTGGCTGGATTGAGTACCCCAGGGTCCCTGCACCGGGCAGCCAAACGCAGGACCAGCCTTTTTGCGGTATTGGACATGGACATGCTGACCCCCATCCTCCTGTTCCCCATGATATACCCATCTTCCCTAGTCCCTAGACTCCTCTGTTGGGTCCTTCTTCATCTGTTCCCTGTCGTCCCATCAGCATATCCTCAAACTGATTCCAATAACCATTCCAGAATCGCCGGGGTAGTGACTCGGAGAAACGGAGCTTGGATAGTCGGGGCGAGACAACAGGGAGTGGACGAGCCATCCCCATCAAGCAGGTGCGTGGTCCAGAGGCCGGGGCAGCCTAAGGGCAGCTGGTCTTAGTTGGTATTTTCCCACATGTGTCTTTCTGTACTCCAGAGCTTCCTACTAAAACGAAGTGGCAATTCCTTGAACAAAGAATGGAAGAAGAAATATGTGACCCTGTCTAGTAATGGCTTCCTACTCTACCACCCCAGCATTAACGTGAGTGGCAGAGACTGGCACACTGGCCAGCTTTGGATTTCCCTCAAGCTCTACCTGTCTGTGCCTCTGACAAAGCACTAACCTCGTTTCTAGGAAGTGCTAGTCCTGTTCACTTAAGTTTAGCAGGCATGTGTGTAAGAGCCCAGCATGTGCCCATGGCAGGAATGTAAAGGTAAATACATTGCCCCAGGAACTTGCAGTTTCTGGGAGAGCACTCAGGAAGGGAATGCTTTCTGGAGGAGACACTGATGGGCCCAGTCTGATGGCCCATCCCCTAGAAGCTCATCCCAACCCATTTGCCTCCCAAGGCCCCCTCCCCAGTCTCTCTCTATTCAGTTCTATTGACTGCTTCCCAGCATACCAAGAACCCCAATCTTCCCTACACTCTCGGCCTGTACCCCTCCAGGATTACATCCATAGTACCCACGGCAAGGAGATGGACTTGCTGCGAACAACAGTCAAAGTCCCAGGCAAGCGGCCCCCAAGGGCCATCTCTGCCTTCGGCCCCTCAGCCAGCATCAATGGGCTGGTCAAGGACATGAGCACTGTCCAGATGGGTGAAGGCCCTGGTGAGTGGGGCTCATGACATAGGAGCAGGAGAGGGGACAGGGCTGGGGAAAAGGAGGGGTAGGAGGGAAGTGGGGGGCTGGCACTGGGCAAATGGGAAACTTGGTGATAAAGAGGAACCATGTAAGGAATGGGGCCGGAAGACAGGCTCACTGAGGTTTCATCTTCTTCTAACAGAAGCCACTACTCCCACACCAAGCCCCAGCCCCAGCCCCAGTTCCCTGCAGCCACCACCAGACCAGACATCCAAGCACCTGCTGAAGCCAGACCGGAATTTGGCCCGAGCCCTCAGCACGGGTCAGTGGGGATGACCTTCCATCCGCTGTCTTCCAGACCCAAATAGGATGGGGGTGGGAAATGAATTTGGGGTGAAGGCTTGGAGGCTGGAATAAATGCATGAGTGAGCACATGACTCTCCACACATGAACACCAAGCTCAGTCATACCATGTCTATCATAATGGTTAAGACAAGTGGCCTCTAACTGCCTGAGCTTGAATCCTGGCTTGCCACATGGGCAAGTTACTTGACCTCTCCATGCCTCAGTTTCCTCATCTGTAAAATGGAGATAATAGTTTCTACCTCAGAGGGTTGCTTTGAGGTTTAAACAAACTGAGAACATTGTCTAGCACATAGTCAGCCATGTTTGACGTGTTTGAAAAAATATATATGTACATAGTATGCAAATAACATTGTAAACAAATGGTCCTCACAACAGCCTTGTCAGGTCAAGATTATTATCCCCATTTCAGAGATAAAGAAACTGAGACTCAGAAGATTAAGTGCCTTGCTCAAGGTCTCAAGGCCAGTAAGTAGATCTGAGTCCAGGTCTGACTCCAAACCTCTCATCTGCCTGCCTCCCCAGGAATGATCAAGGGGGAACTCCTGGAGAGGGACAGTTGAGGAGGGGTGCCCTACAATGCCGAAGCAAGTTCAGGGAAGGAGACAGGCTATTGAAAAATCAGGAAATCTGTGGAGAGGGCAACTGAGGCAGCTGTGTCTTCCTCCCTAAGATTGTACCCCATCAGGAGACCTGAGCCCCCTGAGTCGGGAACCCCCTCCTTCTCCCATGGTGAAAAAGCAAAGGAGGAAAAAATTGACAACACCATCCAAGACCGAAGGCTCGGCTGGGCAGGCTGAAGGTGAGGCTCTGGCAGGCTCTTCCACTCCCACCCAGAACCCTCATCCCCAACATCAGCTCCCTGACCTAACTCCTGCAGCAGGAGAAGTGTCTGAGCTGAGTGTTTGACTACCATTACCACTGCACATAACTTAGTGAAAGAGTGGATGACATCCCCCAGCCCCTGTCCTTCTTTCCTTGTTGCCCAGCCAATTCCTTTTTCCCCAGCCCCTGTTCTCAATGACACCCATGTCTGTGGCTCCTGATCCTCTCCCTAAGGACCTTCTAGTTCCTATTCCTTCCCTCAACTCCACTTACCACCCCAGCCCTGGCACCCAGAAGCCCCCCAGTTCCAAGTGACTCAGCCCCTGATCTCTGTGTCTTCCACTGACTCCTCAGATCCTGGATTCTGTGGCCACCCAGCCCCCTCTCCGGAGAACTTTCTATTGTCAAGTGCTCCCCAACAGCCCTTGACCATAGTGATCCCCATTCTTGACCCTCGGTGGTTCCCCCCACCGCCACCAGCCCCAGGGTCCTCTCATCTCAGCCCTATGCCCCAGCTTCTGTCCCCTTCCCCCATGTTCACTCAAATCCTGACCCCACTTCTCCTTCCAGAGGACCAGCTCCTCGCTGGTCCTGATAACCCGTCCCTACCGCCCCTGCTCTCTGCCGGGTGCTCAGACCCAGGTTCCAGATCTGCCTGCTCTCATGGCTCTTGGCTTCCGCTCCACTCTGCCCCAGGGCCACTGACTTTAGTTCTGCTTTCTCTCCCCATCTGTCTGTCCTGCTTTGTCTCTGGCACCCTGTCACTATCTCTCTCCATCTCTCCATCTACCTTTCTTTTTCTCCTTCTTTCTTGGTCTCTCTTTCTCTGTTTTGCTCTCTATTCTATCTCTATCTCCTTCGCTTCGGGAAACCAGCCAAGCGCAAAATGTGGAAACTAAAATCGTTTGGTAGTTTAAGAAATATTTATAAAGCAGGTAACAAGTGGGGAGCCGGGAGGGGTGCCCAGCTGGGTTGCAGAAGGGTGGGGGATGCCCCCACCTTCCCCTGCATGTGCTCGGGCTTCATGCTGTCCCCACCCTTTGCTTCCCCTACCCCCACTGCCTCACTCCCAGGGGCTTGGGATGGACATCAGGGAGGAAGGGCTTGGGGAAGGCAACCCCAGCTTGAACTCTGTCCCTTAATGACCCCATCGCATCCCCCAACCAGAGGAAAACTTTGAGTTCCTGATCGTGTCCAGCACGGGTCAGACGTGGCACTTCGAGGCAGCCAGTTTTGAGGAGCGGGATGCCTGGGTACAGGCCATCGAGAGTCAGATCCTAGCCAGTCTGCAATGCTGTGAAAGCAGCAAGGTCAAGGTAAGAGTTTGAGGTAGGGTGGAGGACTGGCCTCAGGAGCTGACCCTGGTGCTGGCAGCCATTGGCAGCGACACGGCCAAAGTCGTGTGGGAGGAGTGCAGAGGCGTCTGAGAAGGGGGAGGGACTTGGAGGCAGAGACCCTGCCAACCCCAACACTCTCTGCAGCTGCGAACCGACAGCCAAAGCGAAGCCGTGGCCATCCAGGCGATCCGGAACGCCAAGGGGAATTCAATCTGCGTGGACTGCGGGGCCCCCAGTGAGTGCCAGGAGACAGCAGAGGGGCTAGGGAATGTGGTTCACTGGAGGTGGTGAATGCTGGGATGCCCGTGCTGCCCGGCTGGGAGCCGACATCTACGCTCCGTCCGCAGACCCCACGTGGGCCAGCTTGAACCTGGGCGCGCTCATCTGCATCGAGTGTTCTGGCATCCACCGCAACCTGGGCACACACCTGTCCCGCGTCCGCTCGCTGGACTTGGACGACTGGCCGCGGGAGCTGACCCTGGTGCTGACGGCCATTGGCAACGACATGGCCAACCGCGTGTGGGAGAGCGACACGCGGGGCCGTGCCAAGCCCACGCGGGACTCTTCGCGGTAAGCGTGAGGGTACAGAACCAGGGGAGGGTTGCTGAGGGTGCGCGAGCCTGAGAGGGTCCCCTGGGTAAGGACAGAGGTTCTGGCTGGCGGGGGGAGGGGTTCCAAGAGCCTTTCGCGTTGATCCCTGGTCTTGCAGGGAGGAGCGCGAGTCGTGGATTCGCGCCAAGTACGAGCAGCTGCTGTTCCTGGCGCCGCTGAGCACCACGGAGGAGCCGCTCGGCCGCCAGCTGTGGGCCGCCGTGCAGGCCCAGGACGTGGCTACTGTTCTCCTGCTTCTGGCCCATGCGCGACACGGGCCGCTCGACACCAGCGTAGAGGACCCGCAGCTGCGCTCCCCACTCCACCTGGCGGCCGAGCTCGCCCACGTCGTCATCACGCAACTGCTGCTGTGGGTACGTGAGCTGCGGGGAGGGAAGGGGATCTTTGAGGCTTCATCTAGGAAAACGCCGGGCGCGGGAAAGCCCGATCTTCCCACAGGGACCCCGGAATTGGGCTTGGCCATCTTGGGGAGGCGGCGTGCGGGTGTGGGCACCCTGGGGACACGCGGTCATGCGGCCGTTTCCGCCCTCTAGTACGGCGCGGACGTGGCGGCTCGTGACGCCCAGGGCCGCACGGCGCTGTTCTACGCCCGCCAGGCTGGAAGCCAGCTGTGCGCCGACATCCTTCTCCAGCACGGCTGCCCGGGTGAAGGAGGCAGCGCGGCCACCACGCCCAGCGCGGCCACCACGCCCAGCATCACCGCCACGCCCAGCCCCCGCCGCCGGAGCAGCGCCGCCAGCATGGGCCGCGCCGACGCCCCGGTTGCGCTGGTATAGTTGCCCAGCGGGAGAGACACCCCCACCCCCACGCGGGCCGGGCACGACCACACCGGGCGGACCGCTGGACAGAGGCACCCACTCACCTCTCCGATCCGCACGCACCCCGTCCCACGGGAGCACTTCCTACCCCCACGAGGGCACAGCCCCCACGCCTCCCAGAAGACACAAACTCACCTCCCTCTCCCCAACGAGGCATGGAGACCCCCGCTCAACACGCCCCCTCTCCACTGTTTCCACACGGATTGCTCTGGGTCTACCCGCTCGGGGTTCGCGGAAGGGGACGCCCCCCGCGGTACGGGCTCCTGGGCTCTTGGACCTTCCCGCTTGTGCCCCCTTGGGGCGGGAAAAAGACCCGGTCATGCCGGAGCTCAACAATCCCAGGGCGGGAGCTCACACCCAGGCTGGCTCCTGGGGCGACGCCACGCCAGAGGGAGGGGTTAGTACTTGGGATGGCTAGCCCTAGGACTTGGGGCCAATACGGAGACCTCACCCCTACCGTGCTGATCTCACTGCCCAGTGAGGGGGGCTAGAGCAGCGAGGGGCAGGACCCCTGCTGCCCATGGGGGTGGGGGGTTCCCAACCCTTTCCGTGAAAGGGACCGTGAGTAGTGGAAACCAGGACGTTCCCCTACATCTACCCATGGATGGAAGCTAGAGAGTCCTGGGGGAGCCAAGAGCCTGGGTTCCTCCCACTACTATCTTGGGAGGGAGAAGGGATGGAGCAGGAGCGGGCCAACGGGGCTGGCGGGGCCTTGTAATTTATTGCTTTGTTCCCCAACATGGGGGTGGGGGCGGGCAGGGGCGTGGGGAGGGCGTTTTGGGGTTAGGGAAGCCCAGGGTGGGCAGGGGGTGGGGTGGGGTGGGGTGGGGGTGCTCTCGGGTTGTGAGTGTCTGTGACCGTGACTGCGTACCTGTGACTGTGCAGCGCCCGTGGTGATCTGGGGTAGGGGCACCCCTACAGTGGGACCCCTCCCCCATTATTCTTTCTGTCCAGCCCCTCCCTCCCACTGGAGCAGCTCCAGAGCTATTCCTCACCCCTGTGACCTGTCGTAGCCAGGGCTAAGAGGATTCGAGGTGGCTGGAAGGGTTTCCAGGCCCCCTGCCCCATCCCCACAAAGTGGGTGGTAGGACAGACTTACCTGGCCCAGCCCTGCCTCCCTCAGCCAACCCAGCCCTTGGGCTGTCTGTGTCAGTGGTTTCCGGTCTTTTTTTTTTTTTTCTGGCTAAAATATTTTGCAAAGGACCAGGTAATTGGGGAGGGGAGACAGGTGGGGGTGAGGGGGGAATGCCCCCCATCTCCTTGGAGGCAGTGGTGTGAATCTTCTTCAACAGCAATTAAAGAGGAAGTGATTTTGTCTAGGGGGTGAGCTGCTGGTCTGTTCTTGAAGAGGCAGGTCAGGGCATGGCCTTGGTCAAGGTGGGGAACCAGGGTGGGACAGGGACAGGCAGAGGTGCCTCCCCTGGGGCTGGTGGCAGGGCAGTGCCCATGGGCTTGGAGGTGGTTCCATCATGTACAACAGTTCTGGGTTCATGTCCTTGAGGACATGGGCAGGTTGGAGTCAGTGGGGATCCTTGCAGCAAAGGTCACTGACTCTTAAGATGATGCCAGTCCTGGGAGAGTTAGGGTATGGTACTTAGAGGAGAGGACAGGCCCTGTGGACAGAGAAGATGGGACAGCTTTGGTTAAAAGCAGGAACTTTGAAGACAGATCTGATTTTGAAACCTGGCCCTCCACTTCACAGCTAGGTGACCTTGGTGGCATCTGTTTATCTGTATTCCAAACACTATCTGTTCACAGGGCATCTGGAAGACGCTCCAGCTCTGAGGAGGGCTGCCCCAGCCATCGTGCTCGCCGTGAGCACTAGATATCAGAGTAGAACATAGAGTAGGGGTTCCTCTTCTGGCCCTGTCAGGGGGTGCTCAAGAGGGAAGGGGTGGGAGACCTCCTGGGAAAGATTTCCTAGCTGGCTGCAGAGGTCCCTGGTGTCCACAAACTCAGTGTCAGCTGATGCAGACATTTTTCCACTTCTGTGCTATCAAAGGGACCACCAAAGCCACGGTGGCCTGAGACCAGCACTTCCTCCATGAGCTGCAGTGCCACTAGGCTCAACACATACCCAGTCCTACCATTTCTTGAGTGCAGCTGAAAGTGTTTACTCAGGTAGAGGGGCTGCACAGGGTAGGGTTGGGTCAGCAGCCAGTGCAGGTTGGGCACAGCCATGTGTTGTCATCTGCCTTGAGGAGTCAGTTGGTAGCACCAGCATCTTTGGGTAGAATTGCTTCTGACCCTTGGTGCTCACCAGTCCCAAGATGTTCAGCTGCAAGTGTACCACTGAACTGAGGTCACAGCACCAGACCTGAATCCAGTTCACATGGAGGCTGCAACTCTGCAGGGTCCTAGGCTGTGACCACTCAGCACAGCGACATGACCGAGGAAAGGTGGATTCAGCAGTGCAGGTGCAGTGACAAGTACAGAGGCAGGTGTGTGGTCTGGGCAAAGTGAGAAGAGGGGAAAGTAGCAAAGAAGACTGGACTGGAGGACCTGGCCATGCCCCCTCCACCTACAAGACCCTGGACACTCTTACTTAAGCTCCACTCCTTCCTCCTGGCCAAAGTTTGCTCCCTTCCTCAGAAGTTTGGGAGTATGAGAGAATATGGGGAAGAAATAAGGACCGTGGAGAGAATGAAATTGCCTGCAAAGGAAATCACAGCCAGTGGGAAGTTCCTTTAATTTCCAGCCAGTGAAAAATGGTCAAGGTGTCAGCAAACCTCACAGCAAATCCCAACACCAAGTAATCTAGTTGCCTCTTTTCTTACTGGGGATTATCTTTGGTCTTGTAGGGGAGATGTAAAGGGCGATAGTGGATGGAATCATAAAATATCTAGCCCCCTAGGTTATGACAAAGTAAGAGCCCAGAAGGGGACTTCCTGGGTGGGTGAAGGAGAGCTGCTGCCCCTTTGTACCCATGCCCCCTTAACAGCTCACCCTGGGCTGCCTTGCCTGGATGCCCTGCCGTGTAGAATGCCCTGTTGCCATCCGCCAGCCCTCCCTGCAGCCCTGCTGGCTGCCATCTGCCACACCCGCTCCCCTCCTTTTGTTTGTCTTAGCACAGCTGGGGCAGACTGACCTTCACCATGGGAGTGCTGCCAAAAGCGAAAGGAAAAAGGAATTTTGATTGAAAGTACAAAATGATTAATAGAGTGAGATTTCCAGAACTCCGCTTTCTGGCAATGCTGAGACTCCATCCCCAGCAAATCCAAGCTTAGCCCTCCTGCCCCAGTCCCTTCCCATTCTGAGCTTCTGATCAGTTTTGGGGATTCCTTCTGAGACTCTTGCCTTCAAGTAACCCAGTCTCTTCAGAACTCAGGAGCTGGCTTATAATTATAGAAAGTTAATGATCACTTACTTTGGGCCAGGTTCTGTGCTAAGAGCATGACATATACTATCTCATTCAATCCTCACAACTATCTTAAAAAGCCAGTACTGTTGTCCACAATTTACCAATGAGGAAACAGCATTTAGAAAGTTAAGTGACTTGTTCAAGGCCCCACTGGTGAGATGAGGGGTGATGTCTGGGCGTAGCATTGACTGCAGCTGTCCTTAAGGCAGTGTCTAGGCTCTTGGCCAGCTGGAGCATCCCTCCTGCAGGGGGCGCAGATGGACCAAGGGAAGCAGGGTTTTGTAAGTTTATTTACACTTCAAAACAAAACGACGTAAGCATAGCATGCACAGTGGACACTAGTCCACATTCAGCAAGAGCTTCTTTCAACAGTTGAATCCTTCAGTCTCCACTTATACACACCCTCTATCCCTTTTTTTTTTTTTTTGAGATAGAGTCTCGCTCTGTTGCCGAGGTTGGAGTGCAGTGTCGTGATGCTGGCTGACTGCAACCTCCACCTCTCAGTTTCACATGATTCTCCTGCCTCAAGCCTCCCAAGCGGAGACTACAGGGGCACACCACCATGCCCGGCTAATTTTTTGTATTTTTAGTACAGACTGGGTTTCACCATGTTGGCCAGGCTGGTCTCGAACTCTGCTTTCAGAGTCCTCTATGCTTAAAATTAGCAGAGCATGGTGGCCCATGCCTGTAATCCTAGCTACTTAGGAGGCTGAGGCAGAATTGCTTGAACCCAGGATGCAGAGGTTGCAGTGAGCTGAGATTGGGCCACTGCACTCCACTCTGGGCAGCACAGCGAGATTCTTGTCTCAAAAAAAATATCAAGGCTGGGCGAAGTGGCTCACACCTGTAATCCCAGCACTTTGGGAGGCTGAGGCGGGTGGATCATGAGGTCAAGATTTCAAGCTTGGCCAATATGGTGAAACCTCATCTCTACTAAAAATACAAAAATTAGCCGGGCATGGTGGCAGGCACCTGTAATCCCAGCTACTCGGGAGGCTGAGACAGCAAATTGCTTGAACCTGGGAGGCAGAGGTTGCAGTGAACCAAGATCATACCGCTGCACTCCAGCCTGGGCAAACAAAAGGAGACTCTGTCTCAACCAAGAAAAAGAAAGATCAGAGTCTTCCACACTGGGAGAAGGCACATGGGAGGACCCATAGCTGCACTTAGTAGTGAGGAAGAGAGGGAGACACCAGGCCCATGTACCCTTGGCATACTAAGAAACTGGCATATGTGGGCAGCAGCCCTCTCTCTGGGTATGGCCAAAGGTGGAGGTGTTTTTGGGAAATGTTGAAAGGACAGGTGGGTAGCGGTTTGGATGGCAAATGGAACCTGGAGCATGCTGCAGGAGAGACTGCAGCAGAAGGAAGATCCCTGACAGGGTAACTCTGTGGTATACATTTTGGCTTTCAGAGTATAAAGGGGTAGAGGATGGGGAAAGACTTGGTGTAAAAGAAGGGAAGAAACAGAAATGGACAGATGAGAAAAGGAAGACGGCAGTACAGCAAGTGTTTCTTTGAATCCTTGCCAGGCCAGGCTTCATTTAGCTGCCCTGGTCTTATCCTGCATACTCCAGCCCCATTTATAGACCCGGGGAGTGGGGAGCAAAGAACAGAACCAGAGCATGATCTGAAAAGAGCACGAGCCTCCTCCCTGCTGGAGCCCCCACCCCAGAAAAAAGGTTGATGGATCGATGGTCCAGTTCTTTATTTAGAAACCTGATTGTTCAAGAACATGGTAGGTGCTTCACACCTTTTTCGCTGGGATTGTGCTGGAGGTGATGGGTAGCATTCTCCCACTTTCTCAGCAACAGAGGTGAAGGCTCCTCAACTCAGAAGGACAAATGGTGTGTGACAGGGTGGGCAGGGAAAAGGAGAAGGAAATCCCAAGGCAATTCAATAGAAGGGGGTAAAGCGACTCCCAACAGCACTAGGGGCAGGTGGGGGCCTGCTTGCTCAGTGCCTGCTCACTGCCCTGCCCTCCTTGCTCTCTCTACCCCACTCCACTCCAAAGATCCTACTGAATCTCCAGGTACGGAGCAGGGAATATCCTATCATTAGGGGACAATAACAGGAAAAGCCACAGAGGAGAGGAAGCGGATTGAGGGAAAGCCCAGGAGAGCAAACATCACAGGCCCGGTGAGGTCTCCAGGTGGCTGCCAGCAGGGGCAACAGCATTCACCCAGGGCCCCCACACCCACAGAGTCACCCGAGAGGTCCGCAGCTCAGCTCCACTCTGCTGTTTGGCCCTCAGGGGTACCAGGGTAGGGAGGTGGGGAGGAGGCAGGCCAGTCCAGGAAGACTCTGGATTCTGTGGAGGGTCAAGTGCAGTGTTGGTCTCAGAAGTCAAATTCATCCAGGTCCCCTGTGCCCTCCCCACCTTGAGAGCCCCACACCCGGCGGTAATTGCTCTCCAGCTCTTTCTGCCGCTGGCGTTCTTTCTGGGCTTCTTCGGCTCCCGGCACCTGGTGGGAGAGGGTAGAGGTGGGCTGGAGCTGCTGGCTGTTGAGCCCAGGGAAGTCCAGGGCCGGGTGGCTGGGGGAAGGCAGGGAGTGAGAACACTCATGTCCTGAGGGGCTCTCCCTGAGTGGCAGCGCTCGGAGCCACTGGAACCCTAGCCTCATCTTATAGATCAGGAAAAGAACAAAGCAACAGCGTGGCTGGGGCAGGCCTGTGCCTCCACTGCAGGCGGGCTGGGGACGCGAGGGCTGGAGGCCAGGCCTGGGGGTAGAAGCCTCTCACCAAGATATTGAAGAAGATCTCCTTGAGGTTTCTTGTGTCCTCATCAGTCAGCCAGCGTGCACCCTCTTCAGCCCCTTCCGCCCATGGGCGGACAATTTTGATCTCAATTTTCCCTGGAAAGGAGCAGTATGCAGTGAGAGGAGAAGATAGCTAGGAGCCTCAGGGCAGGCCCCCTGCCCCGCTGGTCCCAGCCCCTCCGCTTCCGGCAGCTCGCCCT